AGGTGGTGCCGTACGGTGACACACCTTTTGTTCTTGTCCAATCAGGTGGTGCCGTACGGTGACACACCTTTTGTTCTTGTCCAATCAGGTGTGTCCCTGTAACAAAGTCCGTCAAATCAGTGTGCTGCCTTTCGTTAGGACACGGCCCACTCGTCTGCAGAGACCCTTACACTTGTCCAGTAAATTATCTACTGTAGTGTCCCTGCTGGGAGCAACTGGTCACTTATGTGTCAATGGTTTTAGAAAATGAGGTGGTTTGACAGTACATGTACACAAAGATCAGAGGCCAACATGACCTACAGAAGCACAAGTGWTGGACACAGCTCTCATTGGGATTATTGTGAAAACTGGACCCACCTTTGTTCGTTTTAGTTTAATAAKCTGTTCTTATTAAAACTGTCAACATGTGAATAAGCTTTAGACAAAATTTGTCAAATCACCACGATCTGAACCGCGACCTCAAACACCACGATGGTGAAAAGATGAATGGTTTCTACTGCTGTGAAAGTTATTTCCCTTTACCTCACACACACAGATGATCAGCCTTAACTGAACCTTTGCCTCTCGGTTTTAAAAGAAAAGTTCTGCACCAGGTTGTCTTAAAGTGAGATTTTATTGACAGAGTTTTGGATCCAGATGCTTGTGTTCGGGGTGAAACYGAGTTTGGCTGAAGCAGTGAGCTGCAGCTCGATCACACTCACACAAAGCTGCCTGGCACGGATTGTTGGTGCCTGCAGAGAGACAAACAAGTCAAGAGAAAAGCTCCTCAGCATAAAAAAAAAGTTTTAGATTCAAAACTGAAACGTCACCTGTGCAGGTGACAGTTTTGCTGGTACAGGCGTAATTGTAAACCTGAATGAAGAGCATCAGGGTGGAAGACGAGCAGTTCTTTTCAACATCTCCGWAACAATTATCATGAGTCTGACAGCACCTGGGAAAGCAGCAGAAAACTGTTTGACTTGTTGTGTTTTGGTGAAAACGATGAAGTGTTTCATTTCTCCTACCTGTCCAAGTCATCCACTGGTTTCCCCGATCCACCAATGCCACAGTAGCAGCCGTAGTCGTTGAACTGCAGAGGATTCACATTAGGCTGAACACAAACGATCATATTCGCAAACTGCCACAGGGCTTCGGACGATGCTTCACTGACCACACAGACTGAGGGTTGGACGTGGATCAGGACTCGACTTCAACAGGTGGGACTAAATGTACGAAGGTTTTATAGTCTTACCAGTGAGAAGCTGCAGGAGAGTTAGTCCGTTCATGTTGCAGTCAGGAGCTGGGTCACATTCAGATACAAACAGAGAAAAGGTTTGAGTTTTACTTTTCATGTCTTACTTCTTTAAAAGCATAACCCTACGATGAAATCAGAGCGCAGTGACTTTATATACACACTCAAATTAAACCTCCCAAATACCCCGAAGACTTAATCAAGCTCAGCTTTCTTTCCTCCATTCTTGGCTCAGTCAAGTCTTAAACAGACTCCTGAAAAATAAAGTTCAACTTCCTGTAAAACTACCCTTTGTGTTCTCATTTTTGTTTTGAGATATGAAAGCTCCAGCCAAATAAGAGCTTTTCATCTAAATGTTACTGAGAATATAGCCTTATTGTCAGGTCAGAAGAAAAGCTTAAAGTTACCAACCACCCTGAGCCCAGTTTAAAACCCACCTACCTGCTTCGACTCAGCTGTTTGTGCTGCAGGAAACCTGCAGGCTGATTTAAATGTGCAACTGATTGAAACAGGTGTGTGGTTCAGATAATTTGATCCACTTTAAGGCTGTTAGAAATCTACAATACAATTATTTTCATGGTTCAATAAAAGCCACGTGTTAAAATAAGTCATAGTGAAAATGTAACATTTAAATGTTTCAACATTCATGTTGTTTTAAAATGCTTCAAAGGTTAATAGGAAAATCAAACTCCTCCCCCTTTTAATAGACAAGTTATWTTTTTATCTTTATCCATTAGAGCCTTGTCTGAATTTAGTCACATTTGTTTAAAACTGATGTTTATTTAAGAATTGCATGATAAATAAGTCCAGTTAGAAAAACTAGTCCTAAAAGAGTTCTCACAAAGGTTTCCTTTCTATCTCGGAGATAATTGTGAGCTTTATGAGACAAGTCATTTCTTCACTTTCTCACCTGTTTCTCCTGAGCAACAAGGAACTAAAGCTCATATTTAGACTCCTGTGAAGATTTAATAAAGAGCTCACTTTTCTCTAAGGTTTCTCACATTTCTCTCCATATTTATTTCTCATCTTTGTCTCTTAATAAAGAAACAGAGATTTCCTGTGAACTTAAACTAGTCTCATTCCAGGCTGGTTTTATCTCACATACACACATTTCTACTGAAATCCCTTCATTGTTAACAATATGAATATATTATGGATAAATGTCTCAGAATGAAAAATATAAAATCACATTTAAAAATCTAATATAACACAAAGAAGGACAAGTAAAAATACCATAAAGATTCCTTTGAAGTTTATTAGGAAAATATGCATTGCACTGATAAATAAATTAACATTAACGTGCCCAAAATATGTTCAAGTGCAACAACAATTTTCAGGCATCTTCTATACAACATGAAAATGTGGAGGATTGAAACTGACATAATTAGAAATAAAAGCAGGAATATGTAAATGGACCAATAAATAAATAAATACACATAAAAATCACAAATTTGTTAAAAGAGAATTTTACCTCATGTTTTATAATTTAAATTACCTTTTGTTTAAATTTACCAAGCTTTGTTCCAACAAGCAAGGAGGAAAACACTCACCTGTGCCTCTGTTTTAAACTAAACTTTAAGTTAAACTGAGGCAGCACAAGCATGCACAGTAGATCTGCACATGGATCCTGCTCCTTCCTGTCTGTTCACCAATGGGACAAGGGTAAAATGCAGGGAATTAATTTCCCCTCTGCGGGGCTAATACAATCTAAATCCCTCACACTTTGGTAAATATGTCTGATTAAAAAGGTAAATACTGGTCATAAAGGAGCTGGTGTCCCAACAGGTAAAAGTAGGACAGAAATAGTTATCAGCTTTCCTGTTTCTCTCCTAACTCACTACATATTTCTGCCTGACAGCTTCTGCTGGGTAACAATGCTCATCAAAATACGACGCAAAAAATAAGACAAGACCAAAACATTTTATGTCAAAATAATAGTTCAAGTGTCTGAATGTGTTGTAAATTTTCCAAAAACAGCAAATCTGCTGTCGCAGTCATCTGACTGTCATTGTGTGATGTAACTTCTTGTGCATCAGCATACAGTAATTGACATCTAACTGCAAAATCATTATGGAGTAACTGCTCTTAATCTGAGCTATCCACTTGGAATTCACACAAGACATATATAGTATGTAGTATGTAGTGCCAAGTCTGAACAGGGTTGATTCAATCATTAACTCTTGGAATATTCTAGAGTAAAATGTGAGGCCCTCTCTGTGACAGTTCAAGCTTGGACCAAACTTGGTCACGATGCAACTGGAAAATGATCCCAAATACAAGAGAACATCTACAACAAATCAGCTAAAAAATAAAGGAACAAGCTGCTGCACCAGTCCAGACTAAATGACTAAAATGTTGTGGCGGGACGTAAGAGAACTGAGCTTTGACAAACGTCTGCAAAACTCTGTGAACTGAACCAAAGTTGGAGAGAAAAGTGGGCCAAAAGCTCTCCACAACCAATATGAGGGAGTAACATATAAATGAACAAAATCAACATATAAATGTCACAGATCAAAAGATAGATTGACATGTTACTTACAGGTGAGTTACATAACTGCATTTTATTATTTATAGAATGTAACAAATTTGTCCTAAAATACTAACATATACATATTTGTAAAGTATAAAAGACATGTCTGAGCTATGTCCAACCATTTTAAACACAACAATCTGCAAACTTAGTTTATCTATGTTTGCTAGTTGCTAGCTAATGCCAACGCGTTTAGCATTTCTTATTTTCTTACCTTGATAACGGTGTATAAAATCTTCATGGAAGAATTTGTAACCCTTTTCCACCTTGTTGGTTTGTGACTTCGCCTCCGTCATTGCCTGTACATCCACAAATGTAATCGTGGGCAAGTTTAACAAACTTTTTGAAGAATTGCGAAACCATTTTCTATTAGCCGAAGCATGAACTGGAGGTGACAGGACGCTACGAGGAGACACGAGTTTTGTGAAAAAGGTATGTTGCTGCTAAAGAAAATCTACAAACTGCAGGATCTTAGGATGGACTTTCACTCATTGTTTCTAGATTTCGACTCAGTTTTTACTATAAATTGTACAGTGTATTATAGGGTAGCATTTCTTACCAAAAATATATACAACCATTACAAAATTTACTGTAATATAACTGTATGTAGGATGCCTGTTTATATTCATAATATTTCTAAATATTTCTGGGGGAAAACAGCTCCTGGGACATTCTGAACTGCTGCAAGTTACTCATAGTGCTGGTTATGTAAATTCATGGAACAGACGATCAGCAGATGGTATCTCCTCTCCAAAACCATTTCTTCTCTGGCCTCTGAACTTCTCCTTTCTTTCCAACCAATCAGGTGCTTTGGATCCCCACAGGGTTCATCATGCCCCTTCTGCTCTGGCATCTGGTCCAGAACTGAAGATAATGAAGGTAATAATAATGTGCTCAAGTACTCCTCCCTCCAGGAGGGCAAAGGTCAACCTACCTTCGGAGAGTTAAAGCCTCTAGAAGGAAAAGAAACACATTTTATCTTTATTCATGGTGACAGATACAAGGATTCTAGATTCAAAGAATCTTTAAACAAAACGTAAGAAAGCACATACACTTATAGTATATATATATATATATATACTGTAGTATATATACAGTATATATTCAGTATATATACAGTATAAATACAGTACATTCAACCCCAGTTCCATTGAAATTGGGATGATATGTAAAATAAACGGAATACAAGGATCTGCAATATTCTTTTAAACCTATATTCAATTAAAGACAGTACAAAGACAAGAAATTTAATGTTCAAATTAATAAACTTTACTTTTTTTCACAAACATTAACTAATTTTTGAATTTGATGCTGCAACATGATCCAGAACATCTGGGACAGGGTAATGTTTGTTCCATCACCTGTACTGTCATTTCATTGTGCTCTGTACAATGACCTGTCATTTTAACAACACTACTGAAGACACTAAATGTTGAAGCTTTGTAGGTGGAATTCTTGTTTTCTTGCTTGTGACAAGGTTGTAGGTTCAACAGTGAGCAGAACTGAATGACCAGACTCAGACTGAATATAAAGGGAAGTGATTTATTTACAGGTGAAAGAGTCAGGACATCAGGCTGAAAGAGGAGTGAAACAGAGAGGTAAGTATTTGACTTAGATAAATATTCTCCAGTGATTGAATGTTAGTAYTGACTGGTCTCTTTTCTCTTACAGGTCCTTCAAGAGGTGAGCAGCCTGGACTGGAGGAGGATCTAAACAGGTGAGGATTCTTCAGGCAGAGTGGCAGAGGAACAGGTGAGTGATCTTTGATGAGTCACTTGATTTCCTGGTTCTGAATGTCTTGGCTGGAGATTCCTCTGAGGCAAAAGGTAGACAAATGAGCTAGTGACGTGTGGGTATCCACCTTGGAAACAGGACACAGTGGGTAAATAAGGTTCTTTAAACATGAACTTAGAGAGCTGCTTAAACATTACCATAAAAGTGAGATGCATCAGTAGCTGCGTTTCCATTCACCATGAAAATGCGCAAATTAGAATTTATAAAATAAATTAGCTCAATGGAAACACGTCAGTTTAGAAAAAAATTACGTTTTTCAACAAAATATTTTTGCTCTACGATGAGGTGGTTTTTCAGTCGTATCTAAATTGGTGTTTTTCACAAAACTGCAATGGAAACACTTTTTTCACATCACAGGAGTCACGTGATCAACAACCGTCTGTTTCTACTGGTGAAAAAGACGATGATGAAGAAGATAACAGGAAGTAGAAGTAGTAGTAATATCACAGAAGTAGTATAAAATAGTAAACTCAGCGACTACAATTTCCCAAAAACACAGCATACGTAGCCGCTCCCAAGTAGGGACTTGTCTCTGGAAAGCCTCGATAAAAGACGCCGACGTCTCCTCTGATGATGAGCGCTAGTGTCGTGGTAGCAACATGCTATGTGTTTACATCCATCGCTGCCATGTTTGTAATGACTTATCATGAGAACAAACGTATTCACGTGACTTTAATAACATTTCTTACTTAATGGAAACACTGCAGTTGTGAAACTGTGTTTTTTCAACACAAAGTTTTGCGCACATTTGTAATGGAAGAACAGCTAGTGTAGATCTGACATCCAGAGCACCTTATAAAGCCCAGCAGCTCATCAGAGGGATCATCCACAGGTGGAAACAAAAACATCAAGAACCAATCAGGAATGTCAGGCAGAGCTACACCAAATCCTCAACAGCTTGATGAACAACTTCAGTTGCTCAACAGTCCAGGTCTCTGTTGTTGTATTTTAATAGTCCACACATTTTAAATGGGAGACAGGTGTGGACTGCAGGTGGACTCTAGTACCTTCACACTTTTACGAAGCCATGCTCTTAGAGTACGTGCAGAAAGTGTCTTGGCTTTGTCTTGCTGAAATCACCAGGACGTTCCTGAAAAAGATGTGGCTTAGATCACATGTTGCTCCA